GGTATAGTGATTTTTTCTCTTTTTTCAGTCTCCAGCAGACAACTAGGGGTATCTTGGTCATTTGTATTGACATGACATGTCAGGTCGATCTGACATCTCCAATGCCACCTCAACTCGACCCTGTCCTAATTGTCCACTTTTTGTTCCTCTCTCCTTATCTATAAATACGAAGATTCAGGTACCATGAAGCCAAATTCATCTAACTCATACATTTCTTTCCTTCTTACTTTTTCACCTCATTTCTGACCCAACTTTTACTAACTTACGCATCAAAGTACAAACACTGGGAACACCCTTTGCCTTTATCTCTAACCGTTCCTTTCTTCTGTATTTAAAAACTACCCTCAGGTCGAAGCTCGGCACAAATAAGATCAATTAAAACTTTTTTGTTTAAAATTTATTTATATTCATTTTATTGTTTAATAATAAAAATAATGACAAAATCCATTATTTATTTACTCTTAATTTTATAATTGTATGTTTGTTTATTTAAAGTTATTTTGTTGTAATTTATTTATTGTTTATAAACATATTTGTTTAAATATTTATAAATAAGTTCATTTAATGTTCACAAATAAGTTTTTAATTTAAATGAACTGAATATAAATCAAATATGAATATTTTATTATTTAAATAAATCAAATTCAAACATAAGGAATAATTTTCTATCAAACACGAATCAATTTCAAATAATTTTAAAAATAAATGAATAAATTACTGATATATATTATTTATTCGTATTCTATTGGTTGACACCCTAAAATATATCAAGAGGTGACTCAAGAATAATTACTGAAGATTCATTTGAATTTCACTAAACCCTAAAAAGGGTTTCAATTGTTACGAGAAATAGTGTCAAATGCAATAGTAAGATCCAAACAAAGTAGGATAATGGCAAAATTGATCACGATAAGCCACTACCCATCCTTGCTTCAGTTAAATTTTAATTATAAAGACAAAAATATCCTTAAAATTATAAAAATAATAAATAAGTAAAATGCATTAGTATATAATAAATAAATAAATAAATAAATTTTATTTATTTATTATCAAAACTATTATTTGATATTAAATAATTTAATAATTTTTTAAATTATTTAATAATTTTATAAATTTTAAATAATTTAAAATTTTTATTACATATACATTTTAATTTAATATATTTAATAATAAGTTTTCTCCTTACTATAATTTATTTAACCGTTATCGTTGTATTTACATCAAAGCACATATCTTAATGCATATTCTCATAATTAATTTTACTTTTACTGTTATAATAATTATCTACCATTATTTGGAATCTTACCATAATTAATCTGTACAAAAGGACTTTGAAGAGGACTATGACATAAGCGAGTAGCTAATATATCTCTAGATAATATATCTCACGCGATAGAGTAGGCTCGTTTTTTCACAACACTAACACTATGTTTGGATTGAGGGAAGGGAAAGAAAGGAAAGGAAAATAAAAAAAAAAGTAATGGAAACAGAAAAAACATTTCCTTTGTTTAGATAAACTTTTAATTTAAAAGATAGAAAAGATGTGAAATCTAATAACCTTTAGTTTCTCTTGTAATCCTCACTTTTTTTAATACCTTAATTTAGAAGAAAAGCTAAGAAAAGGAAAGTTGAAAAAATTTTATTTTTATGAAAAAGATATTATATTCATATTTTTATTATGATATTAAATTTAATTATATAACTAACAATTTCTATAAAGATAATTTTTTATAAGTATTTTATATAACATCACAGTTTATAAATATTTTATGATTTTTCAAGTTTGAATAACAAAATAAGCCAAATTATTATCAGAATAAATTAATGGGACGTTTGGTTCGGGAGAATCCATGCATTTTTCCTTGGAATCTTACTGTTGGGTATTTGATTTTAACGTTTGATTCAAAGTAATCTGATTATAAGAAAAAGTGACAGATTCTCAACAGTACCCAAAGTCCCTAAATAAAAAATTCACATCTTCCTGTGCTATTCTAGGATTTCGAAGAAAAAAATTACATTATTTTCAAATTGGACCTGAATAAAAAATAATGAAATAGTTGTTATTATTTTGAAAAGCACGTTTGGAAGTGACTGCAAATTAGTTGTAAATTTCTATTGCCAAATTTTTTTTATGTTGCGATTAATGGCATTTGGCATGAAAAATGCCTTAAACAATCTTAAAAAAGAATTGAATGAAATTATTTAAGGTATTTTTTGACAAAAAACACCTCAAACAATCTTCTAAAAAATTGATCAGCGGCATTTCTAGCCTTAAATAATCCAAAAAAAAAAAAGTAATCCTCTTAAATAATCCAAAAAGAATAAAGTAATCCCCAAAAAATAAAAGTTAAAGAGAAGGATCGAATCTATGAGCTTATGGTTAATAATTATATACTCTAACTAATTAAGCTACTCTAATTTTTTTGTATTTTATCTCTTAAATCTTATAAGTAATGAAATGAATTATTTAAGATATTTTTTTTGTAAAAAACATCTTAAATAATATGGTCAAATAAAGTAAAAGATATTATTTAAGATTTTTTTTTACCAAAGATGCCTTAAATAATTATCTTTAAAAAAATATTATAGATTATTTAAAGTGTTTTTGACCAAAAACACCTTAAATAATTTTTTTTTAAAAAAATAAAAATTATGTAAGATATTTTTGATAAAAAAGCCTTAAATAATACTCTTCAAAAAATTAAAAAGGTATTATTTAAGGTATTTTTCTTTTAAAAAAATATTAGATATTATTTAAAGTATTTTTAGTCAAAAATGCATTAAATAACATCCTTTAAAAAATTGGAGAGTATTATTTAAGGCGTTTATTTTTTACAAAAAATAATCCTCTCATATTTTTAAATGATATTTATTCAAGGTGCTTTTGAATCAAAGATGTCTTAAATAATATTTTTTAAAAAAATAAAAGGGATTATTTAAGACATTTCCCAACCTGAAAATGCCTTAAATAATCCTCAATATTTTTCTATTGATGATATTTTAAAAATAAAAATAATAATCAAATAAAATATTTGTCTTCTTTTGCTGTTAAAGGTATCATTTGTCATTTGGATATTTATTATTAATAAAAATTAATAAAAAGTTGCTATCATATATGTTAAGAAGATTATGATAATTATTTAGGAATTAACATATGTGAATTCTTTTTGTAACACCATCAATCTTACATTGAAAGAATGTGTAGATAAAAAATAATATATATGTAAAAATCTAAATCCAAACTTGTGAGGTACTTTTTGTGAGATAAAATCGTAAGATCTTTAAATCAAAGCCAGCAATACTTCACAGGTTTGATGCAGGTCTCTACAAATTGTATCAGAGCCAAGTTACCAGTTGACAGGAACTTAGTGCTACACGATGGGACCATGAAAGTTACTAAGTGCTACACGATAGAAGGCCACCTTTAGAATCCTCTTGTAGTTAATCTAAGCTTGATAGAGATGTTAAACTTTAAAAGCAGAGAGATTGTAACGCCATCAATTCTATATTAAAAAAATGTGTAGATAAAGAATGATATATATGTAGAGATTTAAACTTAAACTTATAAGGTGATCTTAGTCCTGTGGTTGAACTTGGCTTGATAGAGACGTCAAGCTTTAAAGATAAAGAGATTGTAACATATTCAATCCACATTGGAAGAATATGTAGATAAGAAATTATATATATATATATCTAAACCTAAACTTATGATATATATATATATAGAGAGAAAGATCTAAACCTAAACTTATAAGACATTTTTTATAAGACAAATTGTGAGATCTTCGGGTTAAAATAAATAATACATCACAAATTAGGTGCGGATCTCCACACCCCCAATTAAATGAGTGAATTTGAAAACGGAATGTCCTAAAAATAAAAGAAAACTTTGGGTATCAACATTCCTAAAGATCACACTTTTTTTTAAAATATAAGATTTAACGAACCAAATGTTCCATAAAAGATTGAATTAAACACAAAATTAAAAATAAATTAAACACAAAATTAAAAATAAATCAATAACTAATTAATATATTTTATCATATTAAATATGGTTAATTTATTTAAAAAATTTTATTTATACAAGTTAGGTAGTATAAAACTATATTTATATATTATATGTTATTTTTAAAAAAATGTTATAATTAAAAAAAATTATAATAAATTATTTTTTTCACTGTTTTTCCAATTAGTGGTTATTATAATTCTTTTCATTTTCTTTCTTTTATTAATTTTAACTATACAAAACAAAAATACATGTACCATATTTTTTTCTTTAAAAAACTTTTCTTCATTTTCATTTTCTTTTCTCTGCTTTCCTTTATTAATATCTGTTTTAACCATAACGTAAAAGAAGGAAGCGGTTAAAGTGCGGTAGAAGCATTTGTTGGATAGATTTATGTGATTAGCTTTAATATATTCGCATTCAAATGCAAGGTTAAAATTTCCGCGCCTTGAATACCAGCAGCGACCTCTTATGAGAAAAAAAAAAGAAAAAAAGAAAAAAACTGAAAAGTGTGGATGACTTGACTTGACCGTATAGATAAGCCTGTGTTAAAAGGCAACCGGAGAAGTGCCTATCGCTAGCCTTGTCCGATGACTCAATTACTACTGGGATGATATTTTGTAGCAATGGTATAGCTTAATTACTCAAGAACCGAGGAGTGTGATGACAGCATTTTCCCAAAGCAATGGGTGATTCAGTCCAGCACCCTGGTGCAGGAGTTGAAAGTGACAGTTTATTTTTCAGAGTCTTCTGAACTGAAATTGTTTCACTTTGACCTTTGCACGTCATAGAATCAGTCTCACAGTATCCAAATCTTTTCTCTATAATCTTCCCTATTTTATTCTCGGTTTCTTCAAAGTTCAAACATAAAACAAAACCATTGCTGACCACTTTTGTTTACTTGTTTCTTATCCGTAACCTGTCTCCTCTCTCTCTCTCTCTCTCTCTCTCTGCATTGTAAAATATTTTTGGCCTCCTCTGATTCTTGCCGGAAAATGCCTCAGGTAGTAGTGGTGGTGGTGGTAAAGCCAAAAAAGAATGCTGATGATCAAGCAGGGGCAATCCACGTTAGCGTGAAGAATCAGGTGTTGTTGCTTCCTTCCTTCTTTTTTTGTGCCATTTTTCTTTAGTTGAAAACTTTTTGAATCTTAGTATTTCAATACCTAGTTTTCTATCATCTACATTATTTTTTTCCCAGAAATCGGGTTTTATATATGTATAAAGTGAAACTTAATTGGTTTTACTTTCTAGTGATTTTGCAACTTTTTGCATTTCTGGGTTTTGCCCGTTTCATGCAAATTTGTCATGTAATGAGTGCATGAGTGCTCTGTTTGGGTCATGCAATAGATCACCAAAACAGTTCCCTGCTATGATTTGTAATGCCACATTGTCCTCAGGCTAATAATCCACCTCACAATTGGTCAAACCAAGTTCTCTGCAGATTACTAGAAGGGGTCAAAAACTGAAAAGAATAACTAGGATGTACACCTTGTTAGACATTAAACTTGACTGGTTTATTTCTTAAAGAATATGAATGTTTTGAGTAGGTAGTTTAATGCTGGGGTTCAAAGTAGATGTATCTGAACCCGGGCATCAAGTCTCAGTAATTTCAAAATTTGAGGGAAATGAATGAAGTGAGTTTCATGGGGATATGATGATAATGCTAGCTACTAATTTATAACAACCTACGTTGGTCCAACAAGGAAAAATGCGGTATAGGTTGAAATACAAAAGCTTGATGTTATACGAAAAGCGGGTGAATTCTATATGGCCATCTGGTTGTGGAAAATCAGGCTGATGACCTACTATGATGAAAATGTGGAGAGCTTGCAAAAGATAGAAATGTTTAAACTGGTAGCTTCATATCTTTTGAGGTAATATAGGAATGCATGTCCTCATGGTAGCACAAGCACATGGTTTCCCGTCATGATTGGTAAGTGGCTTCCACTGCTAGTTATAGTGAAGCTTTATCAAGACAAAATGGTGTTTGAAGACTAACTAATTTAGGGATTAGTATTCCTACTAGTAGAAGATCAACAAGCTGACTCATGTCTATAGTGTTAGATCAGATGCTTTATTACGGTGAACTGTGGACATAGTGAAAGATAGCTTCAAGTGTATGGAATAGCATCATAAACTTTATATAATTTATTTATTTCAATCTCAAAATGTTGAAAACATTGTTTTTGTTGCACAGCAACTGTAGACTCCTAGTCCTAGTTTGAGCTTTAATGAGGGAGTGTTTGTTTACCACTTCTAATATTTCATGCAGTCTTTGGCTGCTATGTGAATGTTGCCTACTTTAAGATTATTCATCGAATATCAGCAAAATATGTCTTTATCAGCTTGATAATATTCTATTATTCATCTAAAGCTTCATGTTCTTAAAAATGTGATTTGGCAGTTTAATTGTAATATCTAATGTCATCAAGAGTTAATCATGTTAATAAATGGTGCATTTTGTTATATCAGTTTTAGAACAAATTTTCGATAGCAATTTTCTTTTCTTTTGGAGTGTGCTGAATACAGCTGTAGTTTCTGAGGTTGCTCTGTCTAATTGGTTCTAAGTTTTACTCTTCCTTAGAGAAGGCCTGGTTCTCATGCATGTGGAACCCATTACTGTTCCCCTACAAGGAAAACTTTCTGTTCTGAAGTTTGAATAAAAAAGAACTGTCTTACATAAGGAATCAAGATCTCGGAATATGTTACTCGATAATGATTAGAACTATCCACTCAGTGTCTATTCCAGGGGTAAAAGGGATGTTAATCCCTTGTTAATTAATAAGTAACCTTCTTTATTTTGAAACTAACTTGGTCTTATTCTAATTTTATTACCTTGCCTATCATTTTTATTTTTTGAAAGCTTATGTAGTAACATGAAACAGATTTTCCCAAAAGAAATGATATTGACATAAGTCTAATGATTAAATAACAGGACATAAGGGCAATATGCTTATTATCTATTTAGAGGGATATGTTTTTACCATTCAGCATTTTTAACATGGAATGGTAAATCCATTTGAACCTAAGGCTTTTACTACAGTATCTGGCAGTGACCTTTAAATGATAGGATTATTAGGTCGTGTGTATTGATGCACCCTGGGGCTGGTACATATGCAACCTACAAAATCTTAGATCTTATGAAGCAATGAGAGGTAAGCCTCAATATTGCAAGCACTAATAGCGTATTGGACACTTTTTTTGTACAAGCCACCCTAAAAGTAAAGTATTTTGTTCTCGGTGACTCCTGGGTTACTGCAACTTTGATTTTGTATCATAAGCCTCCACTTCCCTTATCAACAATCATAATTGTGGTATTTAGGCAATTTTTTCAGAGTGTGTGCTCATTGCCATCTTCTGGCTTGAAGGTTAATTGGGGCCAGTTTACATATTAATCTGAGGGAAATAATACTCATTTCAAAGAGATTTATAGAAGCAAGTTTGTAATTAGATTAAGCAAATGTCTCTCAAGGGAAGTTGTTGTAAGTAATCACTTTTTGTTTTTACTTCCATGAATGATTTAAAAAGTCATCAATCTAATATATAACTTTATCCTAAATTTGATTGGCTACTCATCATGCTTGGTGCACAAGCCTTGATTCAATGGATCTGTGGTCATTAGAAACGTTTTTATTTTTTTCTTCAAATAAGAATACAAGAAAAATGTCAGATTGAGTGTTGCCTTAGCAAATAAAATCAAAATTTTGGTTCCAGAAATTTCAGATTTTGTTCGGTTGTACCTTTGCCATCCAGCTTGCCAAGGTTGGTATGGTTGGCAACCCTTTCCATATGATGTAAATCTCATAATATTTACTTTTCTTCCAGCATATAGTCCATTTTCTTATCTTTTGTTGATATTATAATTCAGCAACTCTTATACTCATTCTTAGATGTCCCTTAGCATGATGTGCTGCATTTTAACTGTGTATGTGTGTTGTAGGATGGGAGTATTGTGGTCTGTTGGATTCCACACAATGTCAAGCTAAGCAAACTCATGCATGCTTACCGCAAAAAGAAGCAATTGGATTTTCATACTGCACAATTTGTTCATGAAGGTCATCGTGTTCCAGGGAAATATATGGCAAATAAGGTACCTTTTTTTCTTCTTTTCCATCCCCCAATCTATTAAATGTGCTTTGAATGGAGATTTCTTTCAACATCACATAACAATGAAAGAAACTGTTCACTGAACTGTTTTTTCAGGATATTATTTCTTTGAAGTTTCTGATCAGGTCAAGAACTTCCTAGGCAATCTCTCTATAGATCCAAGTTGGCTTTCTCGGAATTACAATAAAACGTGTAAGGTAACCCTGCAGTCCTAAGAATCTAGTGGATATAGGTTTTACTCTTCTGCGTACAACAAATTGTCCCACAAATTTCTTAAGATTCATTTTTTTTCCTTTTTGCCTTCTCTCCGTACCCGAAAGAAGAATAATACTCTTGATTTCAAATGATGTGGCAAACACAGACATACATAGTCATTGAAACCATTTCCTTCAGAAACTCAGCTGATCTGGGAAGTGAACAGCAGATTCGATGTCTAAATAATTTGAGCTTTGCTCATTTCACCTTGAATATCCTTCATGCTTACATCCAAACAACTTGTTTGTGCCCTTGTCAAGTGCATTAATATTTTTTTACCACTATCTAAGGATTTTGTGTTACTTCATGATTTTCCATCAATTTCAACATTGTGATTTATTGCTTTTAATTGTCAATCTTATGCTGTAGCTTAAATTGGAGGATGGAGCTGAAATTTGTTGTATGTTTCACCAAATGGGAGGTGGCTTCTATATTATGCCAAAGACTACTTAGGCTTTTACCTTATTGTAGCAGCTGCACCTCTTTGATATAACAGTACCAACTGATGACCAACGTAAGTCTAATTGGTTTTACTCTGTCGAATTTGTAATGATCAATGTTGTTCCATTTGGTTTACATATTAATCCTGAACTTATTGAAGGGAAAAACATATCAGGATCGTACAACTTTTGTGCACTTTCATTCAACCACTTGAACCTTATTTTAAACAGTGATAAGAAGACAGTTGTTCCATTTTAGTCGACATCTTGATCCTCAACTGTCGGTAATGTAAATTTTCTTTTTCTGTTTGTTGGGGAAGAAGCTACTTTCTTAGATGCTGCTTACTGGGTTCGAGTTAAACCAACCTGGAGCGAACCATTACGTGCATAACCATGTTCTAGTCATGTTCTCAATCTGGCAGTCTACTAGTTACTTATTCATTAATATCAGGGGCCCAAAGGGTGATTCTGAGAATCAATTGTAGTGACTGAAATTCAACATTCTGGTTATATTTTCTGAAACTGCCTGTAAAGGCTTAATGCACTCTTTTTATTTTTTTTACCCAGCTACAGCTTTAGACACAAACCTTTTATGTAATATTGGATTAGGACCTTTACAATATGGTCTAGCCCCAAAGATATTCTGTGGGTATGGGTCTTGCCCTCGATTCAAATTTCAATTTTTGTGCATGAATCCATGGATTCAGCAGCTTTGATTCATGGAAAGGGCCTTCGGTTAGAGGGCTGGTTTTAATTTGCTAATTATAAAATGATGATTACTTTTGAATGAATCCATGAAGTTGGTAACACTAGTTAAAAAAAATAAAGCATGATCTAAGAGAATTTATTTTTGATAAACTAATTTTATTTTCATGTGGAAACTATAATATTGTGTCTCAACGTGCATCTAATAAAAAAAGTAATTAATTAATTAATAATAATAATTCGTAATTAATTATCATTTGGATCAATTTTTAAGCATATTTAAAGTTGTCAAAAGCACGTACATTTGATATTAGTATCAACGTCGAAAATTATATAATCTATTAATAAATTAAAAGTATATTTATTGTTACAAATTTTAATAATGATCAGTTTTCCTAAAATCTTCGACTAAAAAACATGAGTATCAACCCTTCCATACCTAACAATCTCAACTTAAAAAAAATGAGTATCAACACTTCCCTGCCCACAAGAATGGTGGTAAATTTTGTGGCGGGCAATGCTTGAAAGTTTGATATCATTAAAGTCTAGCCTTTCCCCGTTCCATGCTGATTGAGTACTTGACCGATTCCAGAGAGACCAACTCCACGAAATAGTCGACAAGAATATCTAGTACCGTACCATTCTTTCTGCATAAATCTTCTCCTTATAGGAGCCAATAATACTGATAGTACGCCTGTTCTTCGGACGAGAAATATCATGATATTTAAGCCCTTTTAAAACTATGATTTTCCGACAGTCACCGGCATGGAATTAAAACGACATTATCCCATTCCCACGTCCTTGCTTAACAGATGATCTGACAATTTTAATTTTTAAACAGGATATGAAGTTACGATAAAAAATAAAATTTTTTAAAAAATTATATATAAATTATATAAAAAAATATATATATTTTATATTTAAAGTATCATACAAATTTAATATTATAATTTTTCGTATTTGATATATTTAACATGACAACATTAGATTGATACATAAATTATCATATCCGAGGAGATGTGTGCGATGGTGTCAAACGAGTAAGTGGCATACTCGGTCCCACTACCCTTGAGCTAACATTACGGAGCCATGGCAGGCATAACCCAAACTGATGCCTTCTTTACGGAGATCGACGCCTCCTCGTGGGGTTCAACTCTGACTCTGTAGTGTCCTGTTAGTCGACATAATAGAGTTGAGGTAGCGGGCCCGGTATAACCCAAAGGACAAGCCAACTAGTTGAGCGATCGCAGGCTCTTGCCACACCTATTGTCACGGTCCGCACGTTTCTCCTGAAATCATGCATCCTTATGATACCAAAATTACTCGTAGTCAGACTTCAGCTTTCCTTCGAATCCAATTTTTTTTAGATAGCTTAATTTTAATCTTTTAAATTGTTTACAAGTTTTTTCTGGCTTTGATTCTGTAAGTTATTCATTTTGAACTCTACAGGAAAGAACCCAGCTCCCATCACTCCTAAACTCACGATTCTCAAAGTGATCCCGAGCACTCATCTCGCCCGTGAAGCTTAAGGTATCTTCAAATATTAGTAAGGGCGCATAACCCTGATTCTCATGATATTATTATTTCTTGACATGGTGAGAACCTAACACCATGTCTGCCTGTATCATACGTAAACTCTCGTATCAAGTTTATGCAAGCACAACACTTATGCTGATCAACAGCCAGCTCGAAGCCTCTAGGCTCATCTCATCCCATGGGACTCAATTCTTAAGGCTTAGGCTCTTAGCTTCTATGTAGATTACCCGCACGTATGATTGACATCCAACATCATGCTAGTCTCGCAAGGTAGACTTGGGTGGACTGCCCCAGCTGCAGCACACCTCTACCGATTGGCCATAAGGGTCTAGCAACGTGCTTGCCTGCTAGTCCGCACATCCCTCAGGCTTGATGGCGTCCCTCTTACGCAAACACCATCTCATGATCCTTTTGGCTTATCTCATGATCCTTTTGGCTTAAAGAGGAGAAATAAAAGGGCATAGCAAACTCTACTGCGTAATCCCATGGCTTAACGCAAAGGCGCGATACGAGGCCCGCCTGCCCCAACTGTTCTCGAGTTTATCATGACCCGAGGAAACATCGTGCCATGCTTGTGACCCTACGATGCCCGCCCACCTAGACACCACTAGTGCCTAGGAGTAGCTCACTTCAGACTAGCCAAGCCCTTGCCTGCCCACTAGCCAAGGGGGTGGTGGAGAGCTGACACCAATCATCCTCTTATAAAGAGCGTAAGAGATTTTTTCAGTCTCCTATCAGTAACCATAAGATTGTTTGAAATGGGGACACTTTTCTCTTCAGCCATCTTAGTGCCTTTCTTCGACTAACTCAGGGTTCTATAACCTTCTTCTTGGTCACCATTATTCCTTGATTTTATTCGTTGCTCCATCAACCCACTCGAAGGTGCCTACACGTGGCTTCGACCAACAGCACCTGACTGGCTAGCTGGTCTTAAGGCACCAGCGCACTACCTCACACTTACCTACGTATCTTAGGATTTATGACTCAGACTATCCATGCACAATATCTCCAACATATTTTCATGCTCAGAATGCCCGCAATGCTTTCACTGATTGCACTCGCTGGGCTACTTGGCTTGAAGGTGCTTGACCATTGTCTCGAACTTATCCACGTATCTTACGGTCTAGGGACTTCCACTGCCCGCACAACATATTAGTAACCTATTTCAATGCTTCAAAGGCTCACCCGCATCTCTTAGAACCATTTTTTCGTCAGTTTGGTCTCGACCGCTGCTCAGTTCATGATTAGTCATGGCAGAACCAAGGCAAACCAAGGCCTAACCATGACACTCTCCCCTACTTACTATGTCGATGCCCTCATCGACGCCACGACCACACCTAACTCTCTTGTTGCATATAGTTGACATTTACTCATATGTCTCTCACTCGTGCCCTTAAAGATTGGATCGAGGTCCCGTCACATAGGGCACCACCCACAGTACTCGTCCATTATTGATGTAGATTGGTCATATCCTAGAACAAATGCACCTCCGCTCTATTCCTACTCAAACTGTCTCACCCTATCTTGGTTGCCGCATATGTGCCACAACATTGCTTCCCTTGATCATATCACGCTTTGCCACTCATTGGTGCATCCCACTAGACGTGACCTCTCACACCAACTGCACGCCTGCAGCATCGACTCTTCGATGTGCCCCTCTGGACATGGTACTTAGGTTAACCGCACTCATACGACACCACACACGATAGACCCTACCACGGTGGCATTCAGACACTTTGGTTATCTTACAACTTGGGTCCTTTCGGCCCCTTTAAGGTCACCTCTCTAGGTGTGGCCCTTTGGCCAACCGCCCTCAATGCAGCACCTTAACGCGCGCTATTTTGGTCTCTATTTCCTAGCTCGAACACTATGCTTCATTTGTTCAGGCTCTTCTGTCTTGATTCAGTCCCACAGGGAATCACAGGTCTTTCCCTCTTTTACTTGAAACTCGATTCAGCATTATATTCAATCATGTCTCCTCAATGGTTCTACAACTCGTCTATCTTGACTCTGGCATAGCTCCTAGGGCATCTTAAGGTCCACTTCATACCAGCAATCCACTGATTTAACCAATCACCTCATCCACTGACTTGTTTGACTCGAGGATTAAGCCACCCACTCAATTCTCAAGGTCCACTAACCTACACGTCTGAAGGCCTTGTCAACTGGCCAATTCCCATTTGCTTGTTCCATTAGATTACACTTTGTTTTGGTCCACTGACCACCACCACATGTGAGGCTTTCCCTCTTGGCCAACATAAAACTCGGTTCACTGACTCACACACTCTTGTGATCCTCTAACCATGAGAACTCATGGTCCATCAACCAACGTAACTCATGGTCCACCGACCATTACAACTCATGGCTTTCATCATCAGCCAATTCACACTCCTCTGTGTAATGGCTCCATGCTTGGACCCGAATACTTCGACTTGCACCCCCGCTGGGGCACCTGCACCATATAACAAGTGCACACATTAGTAATTAATATTGATACGCATGTCTCATGTCCCTCAGGATAAGGCTCACTCGGCCTCACTAGCCTTACACAACACCATTTCATGGTGTAAGCCCCTTTTCGCATTTTGGTCTCACCATGATTTCTTCCACCGTAAAAGCATCACATGCCCCAAAACATGCCAACACCTTTTTCTAGGTGAGGCTAGACTCTAGTGCCCTTTTGCTTGACATCCAAGAGTTTACTCGAGAGCCTTTTCATAGGCCAAAATTTCTTATAGCACGTATCGTTGGCTCCTTGTCGAGCCCCAATAGCCATCGGATCTTATTCGCATCTTGAGAGCTCTTTTGAGCTTAATACCACCTCAATTTCATGTCATTAGGCCCACACATGAGGTCATATTAATCTCGCCACTGAGCCCAACCTGGGTTCTAATACCACAATGTCATGGTCCGCACATTTCTCATTCTGAAACCATGCATCCACACAGCACCAAGATTACTCATAGTCGAGGTCAGCTTTCCCTTGAGTCCAATTTTTCTTGGACAGCTTAATTTTGATCCTTTAAGCTGCTTACTCAAGAGTCTTTTTTGGCTTTGATCTCGTAGGGTTGCTTATTTTGAACTCTGTAAAGAGGAACCCAACTCCCATTACTTCTCAGTCCACGATTCTCAAAGTGGCCCCGAACACCCATCTCTGTCGTAGGGCTTAAGGTCTCGAGCACTGATCCTCTAATATTAGTTAAGACGCATAGCCCTGGTTCTCATAATATTATTACTTCTTGATATGGTGAGAATCCAACACCATGACTGCCCGTATCGTACGCAAACTCTCGTATCAAGTTTATGCAAGCACAACACTTATGCTGATCAACAGCCAGCTCGAAGCCTCTAGGCTCATCTCATCCCATGGGACTCAGTTCTTAGGGCTTAGGCCCTTAGCTTTTATGTAGACTGTCTGCACGTATGATTGACACCCAACATCATGCTAGTCTCGCAAGGGGGACTTGGGTAGACTACCCTAGCTGCAGCACACCTCTATCGATTGGCCATAAGGGTCTAGCAGCGTGCTTGCTTGCTAGTCCGCACATCTCTCAGGCTTGATGGCGTCCCTCTTACGTAAACACCATCTCATGATCCTTTTGGCTTAAAAAAGAGAAACAGAAGGGTATACCAAACTCTACCGCATAACCCCATGGCTTAACGTAAAAGTGCGATACGAGGCCCGCCTGCCCCAACTGTCCTCGGGTTTATCATGACCCAAGAAAACATCGTGCCACGCTCGTGACCCTACAATGCCCGCCCACTTAGACATTACTAGTACCTAGGAGTAGCTCACTTCAGACTAGCTAGGCCGTTGCTTGCCTGCTAGCTAAGGGGTGGTGGAGAGTTGACACCAGTCATCCCCTTATAAAGAGCGTAAGAGATTTTCTCAGTTTCCTACCAGTAACCATAAGATTGTCTGAAATGGAGACACTTTTCTTTTCAGTCATCTTAGGACCTTTCTCCGACTAACTCAGGGCCCCATAACCTTCCTCTTGGTCATCATTATTCATTGATTCTACTCATTGCTCCACCAACCTACTCAAAGGTACTTGCACATGGCTTCGACTGACAGCACCTGATTGGCTAGCTGATCCTAGGGCACCGGTGCATTGCCTCACACTTATGCTGGTCAAACAGCCAACTCGGAGCCTCTAAGCTCATCTCATCCCACGGGACTCAGTTCTTAGAGCTTAGGCCCTTAGCTTCTATGTAGACTGTCCGCACGCATGATTGACACCCAATTTCAGGCTAGTCTCACAAGGAAGACTTAGGTGGACTGCCCCAACTACAGCACACCTCTACCGATTGGCCACAAGTGTGTCTGCCTACTAGCCTGTACATACCTCAAGCTCGATGGCATCTTTCCTATGCAAACACCATCTCATGATCTTTCTGGCTTAAGGAGGGAAAACTGAGGGACATAACAAACTCTATCGCATAACCTTATTGCTTAACGCAAAGGCGCGATACAAGGCCCGCTGACCCCAACCGTCTTCGGGTTTACCATGACCAGAGGAAACATCGTGCCACGCTTGTGACCCTACGATGCCCGCCCACCTAGACACCACTAGTGCCTAGGAATATCTCACTTCAGACTAACCATGCCCCTGCCTACTAGCTAAGGGGTGGTGGAGAGCTAACACTAGTCATCTCCCTATAAAAAGCGTAAGAGATTTTTTCAGTCTCCTACGAGTAACCATAAGATTATCTGAAATGGAGATAATTTTCTCCCCAGTCATCTCAGGACCTTTCTCCAACTAACTCAGGGCTCCATAACCTTCCTTTTGGTCATCATTATTCATTGATTCTACTCGTTGCTCCATCAATCCACTTGAAGGTGCCCACACATAACTTTGACCGATAGCACCTAACTGACTAGTTGGTCCCAGGGTATCGACGCACTGCCTCACACTTACCTACGTATCTTGGGGTTTAGGACTTAGACTATCCACGCACAATATCCCAACATATTCTCATGTTCAGAATGCCCGCACACTGCTTCTACTGATAGCACCCGTCGGGCTACTTAATTTGAAGGTGCTTGCCCATTATCTCGAACTTACTTGAGTATCTTGCAGTCTAGAACTCTTACTGCCCGCACAACATATTAGTAACCTATTTTCATACTCCAAATGCATGCCCACATCTCTTAAAATCACTTTTCCACCAATTTGATCTCGATTACTATTCAATTCAGAGTCAGTCATGCCAGGATCAAGACACACCAAGACCTGACCATGACACCTATAATGCCATAATTTTATCTCTCAGCTCGGTATATGTTCAGAGCATGATCAGGTTATGTACCATGAAGACGTTCCAGCCTTTCCTTAGATGTTGCTGTAGAAATACACGTCTTTTCTTTAATTTTTCACTATACGGTTTATTTGCGTTTTGGGTCCCATGACAAAAAATTTTCTCTTTCTCTATAAATTTTTAGATTTGATAATTTATGTGACAATTATTTTGTATCAAATATATGTAAAATATAAAATTATTATATTAAAATTCATGTAAATATATTAAATATGAAACGTATTTTTTATTTTTAACAAAAATTTAAAATAAGTACTTTAATATATACATATATATACACATATTTTTATATCATTTGCGTGGGTGTCCAAAGTAACAGTGTCTAGAACATTGTAAACTCAACCTAAGATTAAAAGTGAAATTAAATGATACTGTACCTGAAAGAAAGGTTTCCATGAAAAAGTAGAAAGAAAAAAAAAACCAGATTAACATCTTAAATGGCATTCAGTGACGTTATTTTTGCAAATACATGTGCCTGCTTGTCGATCATTCCAAAATTATGAGCCATAAAGCAGATGCTTATGCCGAGGCATTTGAAACCACTAATCAGGACCCTGCATGTCTTCTCGTGGCCCAGACATGCCCGTCCCTCCTTCAGGATTCCAACAAGTGGCATTAACTTTTGTTGCTCTACTGGTTTATTTTTTTCAGTGCAAGAAATCTCAATCAATAAGTTGCCGATTAAGCACAATGGATCTCAAAGAATTATTTGAGTGTGGTAAAGAACTTGATATACTTTTCTGCAAATTATAGAATTGCTGTGATCCATGCAATTGTTAATTCTGATCATTCTGATTCAGATATATGCAACTCAATATTCATTGATCACCTGAAATGGAAACTCATTGTGTCTACTAATCATATTGGCCATTTTCAATACAATTTTTAAGGTCTATCCATGACCATATACATGCATATATATTACTAGAAACAGGATACATGAACTTGGAATGCCTGATATGTACCCTTCAAAAAAGGATTTGGCATAGTCAGAAACCAGTGCTGCTTCATGCCTGAGCAAAACTAAACATCAACTCAAAATAAAACTTCGATATTCTAACATGTGAATTCTGGTTGACCATAATCTCGGAGCTACCTCTCTGAATGAACCTAGATCGTAAGGTATCCGTGAACAAGTTCGTTTCATTAATATTTGACTCGTCATATACCCAATAAAATGTAGTATAGAATCGTGATAGGCAAAGAAACTATCATTCCAAATATCACCCTGCACATTTCAAAAGGATAATATTAGTATAATTAATCCCCAACGGTGAAAAGAAAAAAATTGTACTGCATTTGACATTTGTAGTGCTACTTACGCGGTGCTTAATACATCAGGGTGCAAATTATACTCCCTAGCAAAAACAAAAGGGACGATCCCTTGGGGCAATGCTGCTTGTATAATAGACACCTTTAAAGTGGTGCCTCTGAGGCCTACTGCAATGGATGCTATTGCCATTAGTGCCGGTCCTGCGATAAACCTAGCAAGCATCCCATAGAAAGCCAGCTTCTTTCCACAGGCTATGATCCTTGGTTGCAAAGCCATGAACAATCCTTATAATTAACAAATTTCAGCTTAAGTTGTGAGCAACTCATAGATTAATGGGGTTAACGACAAACAAGAACCCAAAAAATAGATCTTACCAAGGCTAAACATTGCCATTCCAAGACCTGCACTTGACAATATTGTGACTGAATTTTCCATTATTTGGGGCTTCTTTATATCCCATCTGTTAAACAGATATAAACAAAGACAAAAAGCAATTAATTAGTTAATAAGGCAGGAAGAGAGTGATCATCTAGAAACCGAGTGAGTTAGCTCTAAAATAACCTGCAAGAGACTAAAGCCCAGCTTAGCCCCAGTAAACTTGAATAAGAGTTCGGGTTCCTCACAAGCTTGAACCAGACTTGTCTCAATATTTTCAGGATCATTGATGAAAAAAGAGAAGAGGGAATGCTGGCATTTTCGACATCACCTTGTTTTTCTCTGGCAATTACCTTTCCACTGCTTTCTTCTCTTTGACCAGCTTGCGCTGACTGCTCACAAGTACTTGTCCCATCTGGATATCATCATACATTAGTACAATTTATGTGAAATGTGAAAGAAAAATATCTGGATTAACATGTACAAATATCGTGTTATGACTTGCCTGGAGAAATGCAACATCCACATCTCCAAATGAATAAATGGAGCTCTTTACCCTCTCCCTCCATGGAAGCTGCAACCATAGGCTTGAACCGCTGAGATTGATCAGGTGCAATCTTGTTAACGTTTTGAGCTGTCTGTTGGTTAGATGGTGGTGTGGCAATAACATTAATGACTTCATCTTCGCTGCCGCAGTTTCCACCAATCTTTTCCCCAGTTCCCTTAAAATTCTCCTCTCTCTCAGGATAACTAAAACGACTTTCTTTGAACTTGCTCATGACAACAGTTCTTGTTTCTCTATATTCAAACAAAAATAGTAATAGAGTATACCAGATTATGCATTGTAATACCACAACTTGAATCATTAGATATTCCTTGTCATCCCCGTACATTGATTTCAGGAGGGGAATTCCCATCACTAGAGTGTTTGGGAGAGTGGAGAGTGAGAAAAGGGTGATGGACCAGTCCAGACTCCCTTTTTTTGAGAAATTAGCCCAACAAAGCAAAACTAACAATATCAAAATTTTTGAGACTCCATCAGCAGCAAGGAAAAGGTGGTCCATTTTGTAAGGATTTATCCTAGAAACAAACTCGAAGGAGAGAAGTGGAACAGCAAAGGTTGCAACAAACCTGTTGATGCCAGCACATTGTTCGGGAGTGAATATGTTCCACCATTTCACAGAAGCATAAGCCAAGAACATGGTGACATAAAGAGGTACTACTGCAGTCAAAACACTGTACAAATCCTTGATGCCAATCATTGTTTTCTGCTTCACTTATCTCTTCAATATATTTTTTTCCCTTGGCATGAATTGTATTACACCACCGCAGGTCTTAAAGAATGAATAGCTTGAAGTTTTAAAGACAATAAGGAGAAAGGAATGGAATATTTTTGCTGCTCTAAACGATCTTTTGCACAAGAAATCTAGAACAGGAATCTCCCTCCTCCAGATTTACAGACTCCTTCTCAAGTAGCTATAGGCACTGATCAGGTTAACATAACCAGACTCTCGGATTGATACAATCAAGTTTTTTGAGATACTTTTAGACGTTGAAAAAAATTTTTTTTTAACCCAATTTGTTGGTTTAACAAGCATCAACAAGGCTAATTGGTATAATGAAGTAGAAGAGATGTCTTTGTGTGAGATTGGTGTTAGCAGCAAGCATTCTGGTTTGATATCAGTAAAGACAAACTCAATTTATCATGTTAAAAGTTACTGGCAAGTGTTCTTTTTACTTGATCAACTGAGAATTGACATGTAGCGGTTTGAGTAACAAAGGTTGAATGATAATTTCAGCTCTTTAACGGTGTTACATCAGTCTTCACTTATGAAACCATGACCATTAAGTTACATGCTAGTTAAACAGCCTTAAATTGTTACCCTTATACTGCTTGAAATAATCATACCGAAGTATCCAACACGTGTATGTCACCAAAGATGAAGGATCAGAGTAACATAGTATTTTTCATAGCCAATAGGAATAAAGCACGTATTCAAGGTAAAGGAAGCAGCCTCCATCATGTCTTCTGTTTTATGCAATGAGGTGACTTATGATGTGAGTATGCTAGGGCACCCGAGACAGTAAAGTTTTTAAAATAGTTTGGCTTGAAGACTTTGATTCAAAGATTCGAGGAAAAGACGAAACTGGAAATAAATGTCAAGAGAGTGCATAGATGGATTGGAAATTATGCATTACATGCATGCAGGGTTGGTATTGTGCAAAAGCATGTGGGATTCATAGGAATGGCTCAACAAAACGCATGGCCCCAGCATGATGCTGTCTCCTCTATCTTTTTTTGTCTTCTCTCATGTCATAATCTTTAGAATAATGTCTACAATTTATGAGAAGGCTTTGTAATTTTTTTTCTCTTCCAGTCGGTAGAAACTCAATAATTTGATTTTGGTCCCCATAACATGTATAGAACAAAATCATTCCGCAACCAGACTTTAATGCTGAGGAGTAACTAAATTGAACTATAATAAAATTGAAAACTAAATGTTATGCAAGGAAACAACAGTGGGGGTTAAAGTAGTTTTGTCTTACAGCTAAGAATAAGTAGAAAACTATAGCTTTGTTTTTGTTGCAAATTTATGATATGCCATTAGCTACTTGGAGGAGAGTTCACAGCCTACAGTGCATGTTCTAACAGTATCCGGCAAAGGAAGTTTAGTCAGGGTAGAAAGGCTCTTAGGGGTAAAAACTTCATTGCAGTTAGGTTGGTTAAGCTGTCTTGTTCTGCTCAGAGTTATCAGTACTTTAAAAAGAAGGAATACCAGATTACATAGGGGAAGACCAGGGTGCAAAGAGAGCTGTTCACCTTATAACGGAGAATGTTAGAGATAGAATTGATAGCTAAACATCATTGAAAAACTTTTCTTGAAATAACCAATATCATGTATAAAGTGTATATCTCAGTTAAACTCATTGGAAGTTAAAATTTCATACCTTTTAGCATAATTCATCTTCTCTTGAACTATTTGGAAAAAATGTGAAATAAAACTTTCAATCTGTGGAAAATAATACAGTCAAGCGTTTATAAGTTTATAAGATTAAAGTGATACTAACAGAGAAACAATTATGAATAATTCATATCATCCTCCCTTTGTATTTATGAATAATGCATAATCTTGCAGAAATCGCCCAAGAGGAAAGAATAAAAGAAATTAGTTTTAAAGGATGAGAGAGAGATCAGACCTAGTATAATTTAACTAAACAGATCAAAATCACAGAGTTACTGTAAGTCAAATACAATAAACAAGTAAGAAAAAAAATGTTAAAAAGGATTGTTGATATGCTTCAAAAAGGTTATGCTCAATCAAATTATTTGAGTTCTTACTAGAGGCTAAGAAAGATTCAAGGCCCTCATAGGCCAGGAGAATTTTGTTGAAGGGTGGAGAATTGCTTCAAAAGGGATTCTGAGTTTCAATGGTGCTAAAGCAAGAATATGGTACACTAGGTCGGTTCCAAGATCATCAATCCAATAACAAAGCCACGGAAATGGAATCTTGTCCCAGCTGCCTCTTAAAATCAGAACAGCACCAAAATGCAGAAATTTTTCTATGCCAATGATGCAAAATACCATTCTACCCACTTACGATCTATGTTACGACTCGAGTCTTAAAAACACGTAGATTTTCTTTTGCAAGAATCACCTCCAAAAAATAATTTATATTATCATTTGCTCTTATCTTGGATGGTTTTTCACGGTTGAATGTCATGCCTGAGGGTTATGGGGTCCTATGTTTATACACAAATATTAGAGAATTCAGTTTAGGGATGAATTCTAGACTAACTTCAATTCTTTGTTCTTATGATGATGCTTGGCTTTGGTTTTCTGTTCTACATAGGAAACTCTGCCCGTAGTTTTTCTTTGGTATCTTTACTTGTCAATGGAAGAGAAAATCTACAGGTATAGGCTCATTTGGGGGATTTGACTTAATTAATAAGAAATTAACTTCACTTTATCATGAAATTGCTGGCAAAGTTACGCTTGCATATGGACAAAATTGTGCTCAACTCAGATCGCCATTATCTCTCTTTTTCTCATTTTTGTTTCAATGTCAGTAATTGTTCAATCTTTGACAGAGAAATGAAATATGTTGGTTCAATTTTTTTTTTGCAGTGTCAATAATTGTTCAATCTTTGACAGAGAAATGCAATATGTTGGCTGGAAATCAAATAAATGCTGTCAAAACCTTTTTTTTTTTTTTTTTGCGGTAGTTTGAAAATAAAAGAAGAGATTGCATAAATTTAAATCTTAGACCTGTTAGATGCCACTTTTTAGCAGGAACCAATTAAACTAAACCTTGAATTCAAACCAAATACAATTTAAAAGATGATGAAGATGAAAAATAAGTCTTCCAGAATGTCTTGGAAGATTATAGGAGCTCCCACTGTAACAAAACAAAGGTTTAGCAATAAATTTTGAAAGAAAAAAAAAAAGAAAATACAATTCATTGCCATTGTGTTTTAGGCAGCTCCATCATTTAACAGTCTCCGGGATAGCCAATGCTCTGATACAGAGGCCACCCAATTCCTAGGGAGCGTTTGCCGTTTGGTAAAGAAGAAAAGGTGAAGGATTGAAAATTCCATAAAATCTTCCTTGGCATCAATTAACCAATGAAGTGAAAGCATTGGCAGACATAAGGAATATCTTGGATCCTCCAAGGATCAGTTACTACTATAAAATACACAAACGTTATTATGTTAAAAGCAAGTAGTAGTCCCCTTGACCCTAACGCCTGGACTAGTCCTAATGCCCAGATAATATACATTTCAGACCTCAGAGACATAATTTTTGACATTGGCTATATAGGAAATAACTTTGTTCCGATGCTCCAGCAAATAGACACATTGTTAGCAGTATTGTTTAAAAAGCAAACAATCATACTACTTGAATAATCTCTAGATTCATAGTTGAAGTTCATATGAATTACCATTGAAATAAAAGCGCCCTGTGCAACAAAATACAATGAAGCGGCTTCATCTACATAAGATGTCAATGTTTGCATTCGTTTCTGCAATGGACACAATGAAAGAGGAAAAGTGAGGGACGCGATGAAATTTTCCTTTTTTTTTTATTTCTAATAGTATCGATACATAATGAACCACACAAAAAAAAAGTTCTGGAAGTAATCTCACCTTACCTACGTTGGTCTTGGATTGAACTTTCCAATAGAAGGAGAAGGTCAAATTGAAATACATCTTAAAATCCAGCTACTATGTACAAGTACAGCACTTGTTGGTAATGAAACTTTTCCATGAGAAGTCTGAGTGTCAGACAACATCATAACCACCTCCATTCACATGAACCATGGCATCAATTTCATATCCATCTTCCAATACAAGCTGCACATATAGGATAAATTCAACATCAAAGAAAATTATAACAATGTACACAACTATAAGACATTATAATGAGTTCTAGATAATACGATTACTTCAGCAAATAAATGCAGAATCTCAATGCCAAAAGGAAGACCAGCTATAGCCAACCAATGGCAAAATGATTGAGATTCTAGTGCTTCCTCATCTTCAAAAGGAATGTTACAATAGAAACAAATAAATATGGCTCCAATAAAGATAATTTGAATGATTAAGAGATATTACACTAGCCACTGCATAATTAGCAGAAGACTTTAAGAATGAAAGCAAAAAAGGAACCCTCTAGCCTAGTTCAGGGAACTTGCTGCATATTAGGTACAGAATTTTGCTTAGGAGAAAATAGGATGGGGTAAAGATAGTACAAAACCTACTAGATTCTCAAGATGGCACACTTTCTTAGACATGTTCAACAATCATTTTCCCTTTTTTTTTGACAATCATTTATGTTTCACTAAAATTTTGAGATGTCAGAAGATCTTCTTGCCATACATGACACATTTCACCATTGTGAAGAGAAAAAATTTCGAAGCAAGCTGTAAAACATAAACATTACTAGTATGAATCAAACTTATGTGATTCTTATCACGAGGACCTTAACTTTTCAACAAATGGTAAGATCTATTAGGAACCTTAAGAAACATTATACTTCTTCTGGAGTCCTACCATGAGCAAACGAACGACCATTGATCAAAAATTGAACAGTATTGTGTTCCAAAAAATGACGATGAAAGTAAGCAACGAAAAGCTTCCTCATTTTGGTTCCTCATCTGATCTTGAAATGCACTTCATTTCCATTCTACAACAAATACACAATATGAAAGCATGATCAAGGAAGGATTGATGGAAGGGAGGCGAAGGCAGAGTTAACTGAGTAAGTTTGAATTCGAGGTTCACACTATAAAAGAAAAACACAGATATAATGGATTAATGATGAACCTTTAAAGCCTAAATTGATCTACTAAACAAAGATAAACTTATCCTCCACAGTGCATATGGAGTGAAATATTACAAGAGAAAATCACACTTCTAAAATATTACTATATCAAAGAAGTAAAGAACACTCAAATTTCACCATTTCACTGGGACTCAATGAAAGAAACATGACAAAAGTATCCAACATTCTTTTAATGCATCTAGATTCACTTCGTTCTCACTCTCAGTACTTAAGAGTGATTATAACATGGCTGAGAATCAAAATTGGAAAAACTGCCCAAAATCTAATTTCAAATCCCAGCTTCAATTCCACTCCTCTGGGAGATGCAAAATCACGGAGAACAGAAAAGAAACAAAAATGAGTCTATTCAGGAGTCAACCTCTCATACCCAATGAATTGAAAAAGATAGTTAAATCAAATTATTTTAGTCCAGATTAATGTGTGCTGAAGTTTTATCCATAAACAACATGCATCAATTTGGATAATTCCGCACCAATATCAATCTATGCTTCTCTATTGGTTCCATCCAACCCTAACATCCTGACAACCTTACATCCCTCCAGGAACCAAGAACCTACCTCCTTGCTCCAATTAAGAATCACCTATTTCACCTTTACTATAATTTTTTTTCGGTACATAAAAGTTTAGGGTGAGAAGAGGCTTCTTCATACCAAGTCCAGGGTAGACCGCTGTCTTAGAGAGACTTACATTGGATTTACAGATCGCCCATCAAGGAAGACTGTTAGCAATGAGATTCAAATTTCAAGGTATTCGAACTTTACTAACATAAGATAAGACCCACAAACACATTGCCAAAAAAATAACAGACTATGGCCTAAAATTGCTCCTTTCATCACACTGTTACAAGTGGCCAAGAAATAATTCAGGTAAATGTAAAAAGCCTCATCAATCTTCAACTCCTCAGTGTAATCACACACAAATCTATCTATATTGGGTACCATGAAATTAATCAGAAAGAGAGATAGAAAGAGAGAGCAAAGAACCTGGCTTATAATAATGAGATTGATACTAGAAGGTGGATCGTCACGCTTGTTAGAAGACATTTTCTTACGTCAGGAACCTACCTACAAGCAACACCGAAAACAGATTTTATTTCTTGTTCAATATATGTACATGGGTCTTTTTCTATCTCCTTACAAAATCCAAAAGCTGGGTTTCCCCAAGGCTATCCAAAGGGTTTTCAACAAAAATGATGAGTAGAAGAAGGCAAATGGCAACTTGGAATGCAGCAAAAGTGGCTGGCTGCAAAACTAGAAGCAAAGACGAGTTGTCTTTTCATTTGTTTTGAATGTCCACATTTCTGTCATATTTTTAACAAGGACAGACAGGACAAAGTTAATGCATGTCTTTTCTAGTACATTCCCTGTTTGTTTTACCAAAAAGTACATTCCTTGTTCCTTTCAATGCAGTGTCTATTAATTGCTGCTTTTGTCTTGTCTACTGAATACGGTAAGATACTTCCAACATCTAATCCAAAATAATCAGAGCATTTTTCTTTTGTTTTTTCCACTGTTTTTCAAGTACTAGTAATTATGATATTTGGAGCGATGGTAATAAGGGGCATTCTGGATAAAGAACTATGAATTTCCTTCTGAAAACTGCTATATTTATTTTAAGATAAAAAAAAATTCGGTTTGCATGCATTTTGGAGATTTAAATAGTTATTGTCAACGGATTATTTGAGTTGATAAATTTTGAATATTTCAACTTAAATTTAAATTTTACTATCAACAATATCTCTTGATAAATTATTCGCAAATTCAATATAAATTTTTTTTAAAACCTGTCATACTCTAATTTTGAAATAGAAAAACGTTTTCACATCTTAAACTTTTCACATCTTAAACTTTTATAATAAGAAAAAATTCAGTGCTTCTTGGATGTATAACGTATCTTGGGATTTATCTTTTGTTAGGGATTTAGATGGACGTGGATTATTCCTCCATCCTAATTGGAAGGACTCACGTATTCACAGCCTATGAAATGTAATTCATTTTGTCTTACCTTTCCAAAAAAAAAAAAAAGTTCATTATGTGAAATATATTTCATTTTGGACACAATTGAAGCAACACTTATAGAAGCATACTGCAATCTGATGATTATTGTTTATCATTAACTTGTTATGGCCAAATTGGTCTTCTTCCTACGAAATATAGTTGTTACTGCTTTGCCTGATCAGCTCCATACAGGTAATAAACACAACGCCTGGAGGGTTCTGAATCAGAAGACAAAATGTTGCCATCATTTTATACAATGAGCAATTGTGTATGCTCTTTACCTTAATACGCAACTCAAATCCTTAGAATCTCAACCTCACCTGGTATTTCAGTAAGGATCTGCTCAGGCACCTGAAATTATAACTGGGATTCTTTTTCTTTTTTTTTTCATTCCAATACAATAAACTCCAAGAATTTGCTACTGACAGAACAGCAATTAGCTAGACCAGCTACAAGAAGACCCCTTCATTAGTTAAGGCATGTTGCTGAAGATGCCTGCTAGAACAGACTGCAACATTTCATCTGTGGTGCCATTAACCTGACCAAACACGTCAATCCGTTGGTTAAGTTCCTTGAAGATGACCTCAGGTTCATGTTGCATCGCTCGAAGAACATCTCTGCAAGACTGCCCTGGCATAGCATTTGTCACTACAAACCCCTCTCGTTCACAACTTTGTGAAACCTGAACAACACTGGGATTCCCAAGCAAATTTTGAGATCCACCAAGTGCCTCCACATAAGCCCCTGCCAAGAACATTCCCAAGTAATATTTCTTTCCAATGGATTCCTTGTGATTATCATTGCTTCTCAATTCGTGCAGTGGCAAGCTTGATTCACCTCCAATGAATCTATCAATCTTTCCATCACTATCACAAGTTAGATCTAATAAAATCCCCTTAACTGTTGGCTTTGGACGGAGTCGATGAATTGGAACAATCGGGAATACCTGCCCCTTAGGTCCGTGACATAGACAGGTCCTATGTTCACCTTTAATTGCTGCAGCAGACAAATTTGAGTAGTCTAAGCGAGTATCTTCAGTTAGCCCTTCAACGAAATGCTGCAATCCTTCCGGATACATTACCGGAGAATCTGACACACTGGAAGAAATAGCCTCAAAAGTCAAAATTGAGTGGTAGGAGACAATAGCTCTACCGCTTTCACTGCAGATCACTGGATGCTTAACAGATTTGCTATCACACACTTGTTGAATCACTTGGACAACGGTTGAAGCATACTCTTCGAGCCCATAACCGACAGAAACATCAGAGTTACAAGATTATGATCCATCATAATCAATGCCAAGGCCACCTCCAACATCAATGAACTGCATACATGCTCCAAGACGGATCAATTCTCAATAGATTTGAGTAGCCTCACCTATGCCGTCTGCCAACAATGAGATTGAAGGAATCTGAGATTCAATATGGAAATGCAGTAAACTTAGGCAATTCAACAGCCCCGCTGTTTCAAGCTTGTTCACCACACTTAAAATTTGCCGTGGTGTTAGTCCAAACTTCCCTCTCTCACCAGAAGTTGATCCAAAATGACCACCATGCTTTGTTCTTAGCTTTGCTCGCAAACCAATGACAGGAGATATACGAAGTTTTGTACTTAAATCAATAACTAAATCTAGTTCTTCCACTTGCTCAAGAACAACCACCACGTTAAAAGCAAACTTTCTTGCGATCAAAGCAAGTAAAATATAATCATTATCCTTAAAGCCATTGCAAATTAAAAGAGCTTCTGGATGCCCTTTGCATAAAGAACTCATTGCTAGAAGGAGCTCAGGCTTGTAATCAACTTCCAGGCCAAATCGAAAAGGGAATCCTAATCTCACAATATCTCCCACAATAAACCTGTCCTGGTTACTTTTCACAGGATAAACGCCTTGGTAATGAGACCTATAATTTAAAGAGCTGATGGCAGACTCACATGCAGAGTGAAGGGACTCCGAGCGGTTCTTCAAAACAGCAGGCAGGCGAATTATTACAGGAAGTTGTAATCCAAGGCCACCTGACAACTTGTGGTCCGAGACTAGCTTCACCACCCTTAGCAAATCAATCTCCTGATGAGTTGAAGAGGTGTTCAGGCCATTCGGACGGATAGAAATATTGCCAGAAGAGTGCACTGAGAAGTATGGAGCACCCCATTTTTCAATCTTGTAAAGAAGAGATGAGAGAGATGGAGACCAATGGGACCAATCCATTGGATCGAGTTTGCCTTGGTTTGAAGTTCTTACATGTTCATACCTATGGTTTATAAAGGATATGTAGCAGAATCAAGAGCAAAGTGAAATTATAATAACCCTAATTATAAGTAGATCTTGAGATTGGAATGAGAAATCTTCCTGGAAAATAGTATTACAATTAACTCTGAGAAAATTTGAAGAGACGAGTTTGGAAGAGAAAATCTCCCAAATTTGGGGTGTACCAGATTTTCATATATTTTCAGATTTTGTTGCCCATTTTGCCTTTCCTTTTCTTAATTGGTTTTTTATTAACTTATGTTTTAATTGGCATCTCCCTTGTGATTTTTGTTGGCTGTTCTTTGTGGGGGTTTTGTCTAATTTTATAACTTATTTCCTTTCATTAATTTGTTTCCTTTTTTTTCGCCATTAGCTCTATGGTTGATAAAGAGAAGGGGTATAAGTTTGATAAGGGGTATCATGCATGCCAATATTGATTGAAGTGAAGACACTGTAGCTGAAGATTGCTTGCTTCTTCTTGTTGTTTCTGTCGGAACTAATTTTGAAAATCTGTAAGTTGAATTTTGAAACTTTTCATTTCTTTCTCTCTTTCATTGAAAGCATGAGTGAATTCAGTGTTAATTTCAGTCATATATCTGAGTTCTTGGTCTAAAGTTATTATCCTTGGATTTCAAGAATAATGTTTTGAAGATCGACAAAACTCTTATCAAAGTGATGACTGACTTTCCAACTTATTATGCTATTGATTATTTTTGTTTCCATCTTGACTGATCAGGGGAGTTAATCACTTGATTTTCTTGCCATACGCATAGCTCAAATATTTAACTTTTGACATGGAAGTGACACAAATACAACTCACATGTTAAAAGTTGGTTCTAAGTCTATGGAAATCTGATTGGAATCTCCATTCTCCTCTTAATGCTGAGGTATCATGAAATTTTTTCCTATACCTTTTTCCTTTCCCATGCAATGGACTGAGAATTTTTTTTCCTTCTGAGATGAATTGTGCAGTAGAATGTTGCACATAAATGACAATCTCTTTTTTCTTTTCTATTTTGTCTAAACCACAAGCATAAACTAATTCTATAGTCCACATGATGCAAACCATATGAATAAGTTCAAAATTTTTGACATTACAAAGAATCCACAATATGGATTACAATCTCTCAAGGTATGGTATTTAGGATATTAAACCAAGCTATTTGCTTACAAGCTTGGAAAAAAAAAAAAAAGAGTCCCGAACAAAGGGGCAAATGTAAAAGCACAAGTAACCAAATCAGAGCAGCTTATATCTATGTATGCTACTTACAAACTTGTACCACCAAAGTCTCAAGCTGGTAATTGGAGCTTTACATTGTTCTTCCAGCTGCAGGCATAGAAAGTTGGATTTATTACAATCATTAACCTAAGTATGAGGTGCTTTTCAAAGTGATTGAGGTGCTTACCTCTGGAAATAATAGTAGAAGAAATCAGCATAAAGCAATGTCTGGACAAGCCCTGAAATCCAAGCTGAAAGAGAGCAATCATATAAACAAGGTGTAAGAAATAAGATACATGTCTAACATAAAATATCCCAAATGCAATGCACAGAGATACATTGGCATAGACATCCTTTATACACCCATGGCCATATGGGCACTGACATGTGGTGAGAGAGGAGGGGAGACAGAGAGCAAGAGAAAGAGAAAGAGAAAGAGAGAAGAAACATACTTATCCAGTGGACAAAGTGCTCTTCAGTAAAGTACCGATAAATCCAGTTCAATATGTAGAATGCTCGGTATGCACTGCAACAAAAGGAATTATATTAGCCCCAAACCAAGAATTAAACATTAAGATGTTAGTGACTTATAAAGACAAAAAAAAATGCATACATATCATGGTGCTAAATGGAGGCAAGATGAAAATCCTCCAAGGGAGTCATTCTGCAATATTGTCTTGATGTTTAAAGTATCTTTCAACGCACCATATACCATGGTTGTGAAAAGGGATGAAACCAAAGGTAGTTTGGTTAACTGGTGGGGCAAAGATATATTGCAAGAAGCTGTCAAATGTTGAGTGCAAAAGTTTGTACATGCTGGTTACCCCCCCTCCCCTCTTCTCCAACCAAAAAAAAAAGGGAACAGAAAGTAAATGCTACACGGTTATAAATTTTGAGATCAATATTGTTCCTGATATTTGATGACTTGCATACTCTTATGCAAGCCTAATTTGTGATAGCCCCAACAATATGTATTCTACTCAACTCTTTTTGCACTTCTCCTATACTTAAATGAAGCCTATGGTTACAGATAACAGCCATTTTAGTTTAAGTAATTCCTTGAGACTTCTCTTTTACAATTCAAGATGTTGAACAAACTGCTTTCTTGAATTCTTCTTTACTCCCTTTCTTTCTTAGTGCACCAGTAGGTCAAAATCAAATCAATCTTCTACAAAATATTGGGAGCTCCTCCCTTTTGGTTTGCCTTTCTTAACAACTTAACGCAGTTCCGAGAAATCTTATACTGGTTTAATCTTGCCTCATCTCCTAACTTATGGTAGTAGGATGTATAGATAGACAGGAAACAGCGTACAAAGAATAAAAGCACCATGATAGCATAAAACAAATGTAATAGAAGAAAAAAAATTGTACACACTAGCAAAGTAGTTGATCACATTTAAAAACAAAAACTTTGGTCCTACATAAAATCATATCAACTTTTCCTCGAAAAGAAAATTGGTGTCAACTATATTTAGCGATTTTCTCTCTTTTTCTTTCCCTCCAAATTAACATGAAAGGAGGCAACGATATATGGAAATGAAAGCCAGGAAGTAAGGGTCCTTAATGCAACGTAACAAAATTATGGCAAACTTGAAAATTAGGTTTTATAGAGTGGAAGTTTACCCAAGGAGAAACACATATTGTCCAGTCAAGTTGTCAATATTTCTAGTCCTTTGCAACAACACAAGCTGAGGAAGGATGGCAACAGCTTCCAAATATAAGGAAAAAGTCCACATGACCTGCTCAACCAAATTTTCCAGGCAAATATCAATATATGAAGGTATATAGTCTGAAAGATAATAGAACCTGATAACTTCCGAACAAATAATTAATATAAACACATAAACAATGTAACATAGCTTCTAAGGTAACCGGAATAAATTTAACATACAGAATCATGATTGTATTGACTACATGGAAATAAAACAGACTGTTTTATTCCAAGAAATAGAAAGAAACATGTTGATACCTCGCTGAAGGTGAACTTTTCATTTATAAGAAGGGCAAGAATTAGGCAAGGCAGAATAAGGAAATAATGGCGAAATGTATCCTGGTCCTTATCATAAGATCTACGAACTATCTTGTGATATCGCATGTACCATACGATTGAGAAAGAGCTCCCCAGGAATATTAGCTTCATGATCGTGTTATAAAGTGAAATGTAACTAGTGAATATGTCCAAGTAGCGAGTAGCAAAGACAATGGCATAGAGTTCCTGAGTCTTCAGGGAAATGCCTGCAAAAAATTATAGGATTTCATATCATAGATAAAAGATTCAGAGCCAGAAAACAGCTCATAAGACATGACAGGGAGTGTGAGACAGAACTGGATGTAGAATGCAGAGAGACAATGGCATAATGGAGTAACATAAACACAGGATAGAATAGAAAGAGACAAGACCCAAATGCTGTAGCATGCCTATGAATGAAAGCAAGGATCTAGAATTCCTACATTTTAAGTTTAATTACATGATATGGTTTTTTTTTCCATAATAGTAATCATGGACGAGATGCTAGATAAGCATATGTATGCATATGTAACTTATAAAGAAAAAGCTTCCAATACTCCATCATAATGTGATAGAACCTCGATCATGTACGCATATGGTCAATCAATCTTAGCAAGCTTTTGCTCACTACATCCTCAATTGAAAACATCTCTAACTTCTCATAACGACTGCCTCAACTTCCAATGAGTTAAATGGCTTTAGCTACCCCTGAATCCTTCAGTCATCCCACCACACAGTCACATTTTAAAAGGAAAGAAAAACAGAAAAATAAAATTTTCCAATAAGCTAGTTGCGCAAAACAGAAATAATCAACTTGATCAAGCAACTCTAAGTTAGGGGGCATTGCTACCCCAAAGGGTGAGAGCATACCAAACACTACCTCAGCTACAGCTATATTTTAGACCCTCACCATATACAGAGTTTATCATGTTTTTCTTCAAATCATAGGCCAGCAAGACATACAAATAACTAAACTACATTATAATCCCACATAAAAAAATCATCCTTTGATTTCCATAAAATCTCCTTCCCAGAAGAATACTCATATTGCAAATTTCAAATGCCTACAGATTTATTGCTACAAATAGAAGGAAAATTAGCAAAAATAAGATGCCATTTCGCGAGATGGGAGCTCCAAATTAACAAACCATGAACCCCCTAAATCCAACCAATACAAACCCCTTGATCTCAATATTGTCACTAAATCCAGCAACTTACTAAACTTTAATAGAAGCTATACATAAAGTCCTAACTGATCACACCTCCTTGCTTCTAAGCTTCAAAAATACATACAAGCACAATCAAATTAATAAAAACCCATTCCGAAAATTACATGAATACATAGTTTATACATGCACATTCAAATGTCACATTTTTTTTTATTAACCTACACTTCCAGATTTCACATGATTCCAATTTGGGCATGCAATAAACTGTACAACAACTCAAACAAAACAATAAATTAACAAAAACCCACATTCAATGTAACCAAAAAATTAAAAATTTTTTTATTCTAAGCAGTAAATTATTGAAATAATAAAAAATAAAAATAAAATGAAACGAACCCAGAAGAAAATAAATACTAGAAAATGGACGTACCAGCGCAAGATTTGATGGTGTGGATCTTGAGCAGTAAAACAACAACACTTAACAAATGGGTCATGTCCCCAGCTAATCTGAATATATTCATTTTCCTCTTTTCTCTCTTCTCAAAATTACTCAAATTGTGAAAATTAAAAAAAAATAATATGATGGTTTTTTTTTTTTCTTTTTTAGTGTGAGGATCAACCGGGAAAGTTTCTTGAGGAAAACTTTAGCAGATCTCGGATTGATCCAAAAGAAAAACGGCTAATTTCTTTTCCTTTCTTTTTGGGGTTTTTTTTTTTTTTTTTTTCTTTCTTTTGTTTTGTTTGTTTTCAGGAATTCCCCTACTTTCCGAGAAAAGGGTAGAAAAATAACGAGAAAAATGATTATGGAATTTACTAGATGGACTTATGTTTTAGCTCTTGAGCTTTATAATATATATATATATATATATATATATATATAGATGTAGATATGTATATGGATATCATAAAAGAATGATCAAGTTTTTTAATTTTATATGATCTTTTAATTATTAATTTTAATAGTTTTAAGATAAAAAATTATTTTTTTTCGACTTTTTCCTTATCTTTCCATTCCTTAAATTTATTAAAATAGAGTTATAAATGTATAAAGTTTTTTTAAAAATTTTCGTCATATATAATTCTTAAGACGACGAAGCCCTATATTTGGGCCTTTGGGGCCTGCACATTCAAGAAGTTAACAAAATTTAGGATTTACACGGAATAGATGTATTCATTTATATTTGTAGGCCCAACTCAGACTTGAAATTAAAGCTATGGCCCAACTAGATAGGGATTGACTCACAAGATTAGGCAAGTAATCCAATCCATAAATAAATTTAATTACACATATGATGCCTACATTATAGTTAAATTCTAAATTTAGTACTTAAAGTTTAAAAAGTCGTAATTAAATAATCAAACTTGGCTTTTATTCCTATCAGTTTGCATACAAGATACACATAGTCAAAAGAGTAACATGTCTAAAACATCCAATAAGATGTTACAATATGTCACACATTGACGTGCCATGCTTTTGTGGCTTGTTTTTAGACAAATCATTTATTTGATTAACGGTGTTAGTCTCGATGTACAAAGTAATGGTGAGGAGCACAGTTTTTAAGTTAAGTACTCAATTATAAAATTTTAAACTTTAGACATCAAATAAAAAATTTAACTATAATAATAAAAGAAATTATTTAATATGCTGATAATTTTTTAATTTTACAAATTAAATTAAAATGATGATACATATATCTCATATATTTAAAAAGTTAATTTAAAATAAAAATAGTATATATGTTATCATTTTAATATTATTTGTGAAGTTAAAAATTTTTACTATCGGTGTATCAAATAATTTTTTATCAATAATGTCAATTAATGTGAGATCCTTAAAATTATTATGCAAATACTAGATTATTGAGTTGCAAGTAAATGAACCCATTAGACAAAGATTGAGCCTGGTCCAAAACAAACAGTTTTGAATTTTATGTAACCAGGAAAAAAATAGGAATTTGAAAAATGGAAGAAATATTTTAATGGAAGAAATTGTCCTAACCATGTATCTTACAATAATAATAATAATAATAATAATAATAATAATATAATGCTGATAAGAAAGATAATAACCTAATATTTTAGATTTTATTATCAATGTATCAAATAATATATATATATATATATCTTTGAACAAAATATTTATATGTCAATGTTATATAATTGTTTTTTGGAAGGAGATATTATATAATCTTTAAAACAAATAATTGGTACATATATCCTATATTATTAGCTTATGATAATACAGTCATGAAGTAAAATCATGACGACAAGATTGTAAATGCACTAATTTTTTTTGTTAAGCTGGAATGATTTGGATTTTAATTTGAAACTGCTAAACGATTGTTCGAGAGGTTTATTACTTTGCCGCAAAACAATTGACCTTGTGGTTCTGCCAAAAGATTTAACTGAGGAAAACAGGGTGCAAAACAGAGCACTATGCTTATACACACGTGCAAACAATTAATTGTACCTTTTTGATATTTTGATGAAATTGTTGGAATAGTAATTCAAATTTTATAAGAAATTTGATTATGATTTTATTGAGATTGATTAAATACTGTTTGATGATGAAAAAAAGATTTGTAAAATAAAATTTAAGAGAAATTTTTTTTTAATAAACAAGTTAACAGGTTTATAAATAATAAGATTTCTACAAGATTAAATATAAAAAATATATAATAAAATTGTAAAATTTTATTACAGAGACATTTGCTATGACTATAAAAGATTAAAAATGTCAGTATATGTATGTTTGTTTGTAAAATTGGATATGTATGTATAATTATTTGGGTTGAAAATATTTTATTTAAAAAATAGTAAGAAGATTCGTGAATATTAATTATAAGTAATTGAGTAATTGTATTTGTAATTTATTATAATTAATGATTTTTTTTTTCATTTGTAGAAGTAGGAAAATTAAATATTAAATTATATTAAATTATTATATTTTATATGAATGATTGTTGATTTGATTATACTTTTTCTTGCTTAAATGTTTAATAAATTTGGAACCTTTCGCCTATCAGAAACAATGTCGATGGTATCGACATACGCAATGAAATAAGTAAACTCATTTTTCATAAACTCTATCAATAATTATATATATATATATCATAAATGGATCCCTTAAAAAAATTTGAATCCATCACTAAAAATAAGTAAAAGAAGATTTGGTTTTTTTTTTATAAGAAATCACTAAAAATAAGTAAAAGAAGAATTGGGTTTTTTTTTGTAAAAAAATAGGTACATCTTTTAGTAAATATGTAAGCATTTGAAAGGATACGGCATTGCTCCTAAATTAGATTGTTGCCAAAATAATTTAAAAAAAAAAAAGTTACAGGTGTGATCACTTGTGAATTCAAAGGAATATGCCAAAATCAGGATCAAAAGACTTGAAGTTCTGATCAAAGGAGCATTTAAAGGCAAGCCAGTGAGTTGTTAACAAGTTGTAACACTTTAAAGGAAAAGACGAAATGCAATAAACAAACTAATAAAAGAAACAAGTTAATGGCCTGTTCATACAAAATTACATATGAAGTTGAACGAGAATTTTGCAGTATAACTACCTATATATATAGCTTCAAAAGAAAACCCATTTCATTTCCCTTTTTTGATAGACAAATAGTGATCAGTTTCATTATAAAAGCCTACTAAAATCACTCTTTCTCCAAATATACATCTTCCTTCACTCAACAAACAAATGCTTTCCTATTCAACATCCTTATTTTCCTTCCTTTTCAACTGCCTTGTGTGTTTTCCATATAAACAGTTCAGCTTCAGCTACAGGCCATCAAGGCTTTAGTTCTGCTATATATATGCTTGTTCTTTTCCTGTTATATTTCTAATTCTCCATCAAATCTTAGCCTTGCATGAAAGCTTAGTTGAGATATGGGGTCAGTTTCAGTTTCTTTGTATATTGCGGTAGTATTTGTTTCAGTTGCGGTAATAAGCACAAGTATATGGGCTATTCCAACTACACTTGATGGACCTTTCAAGCCTGCGACAGTGGATCTTGATAAGAGTTTTCGTGGGCATGCCATAGACTTGCCTGACACCGATCCTCGAGTTCAAAGGACTGTTAAGGTTTGGAAGCCTGAGCAAATCTCACTCTCTCTTTCTACAAACCATGACTCAGTCTGGATATCTTGGGTTACAGGTCTCCTCTCTCTAGCTCTTTACCATCTCTTCAGCTTTTCATTTGAATTTCTTTGCTTCCACGCATGAGTTTGACAAGACTTGTTAATGAATGCCTTGGCTGGGTTACAGGTCTCCTCTCTCTAGCTCTTTACCATCTCTTCAGCTTTTCATTTGATTTCTCTCTCTAGCTCTTTACCATCTCTTCAGCTTTTCATTTGAATTTCTTTGCTTCCACGCATGAGTTTGACAAGACTTGTTAATAAATGCCTTAGCTGGGTTACAGGTCTCCACTCTCTAGCTCTTTACCATCTCTTCAGCTTTTCATTTGATTTTCTTTGCTTCCACGCATGAGTTTGACAAGACTTGTTAATGAATGCCTTGGCTAGGGCTCAAAGGACAAGTGTTCTTTCCAATAAAATTATAAAAAGAACAGCCTTTGGAGTGAACATTTTTTTTTATATCACGAAAATAAAGTTTTAGTATAAGTAAGACAAGTGTTCTTTCCAATAAAATTATAAGAAAAAACAGCCTTTGCAGTGCATATTAAGAACATAAAAATTTAATATAAATAAAAAAAAAATTTGATTCAAAATTACATTTGAAAATTAATATATATATATATACTAACTATATACTACCTCGTACATTTTCAATTTTTAAAGCATAACTCTAAATAAAATACTTAATTAAAATTAACAATTCATTATCGCCAACGAAATTAATTAAATTGATAAAATTGATTATTTTATCTTATAAGGTTTTGATTTTTATTATTAGCAATTTTTTTTATAAATGATACATAAATACAATATAAATTTTTGTTGAAGCTTATTACATATCTTCAACCCGAAACGGACTATCCTCCCCTCATTTAAATATTTTTATAAAACAAATTACTAAATGAGATGTTAAATCATAATGCATCAAATCTTATAAACTCTAAAAAAGTTAATATAATTTTATTTTTTGTGAGATATATAATAAATAAATAAAATTTTAATTTGAGACTGATATTACAAACGACAGGGACCATATCGCGAGACTTTAACATTTTAAGTTTATAAAATTTGACTTTGAAAAGGAATCTTTTACGCATATTGTTTGAGTATTCCATTGTTTATAAGCCTAAATAATTTTGAGATTATATTAGACTACAAAAATTCGTTGACATATTATCGAACAGATTTGAAAGTTGAGACGTATTTAAAAATAAAATTAAAATTAACTTTTATTATTTATGTTTAGGATTTATAATTATTTAAATCTTGGCTCATTAATAATATAATAATTTATCATTTAATGATAATTGTATAAAATATATATTATTATTGTATCAAATATAAATTCATTTATATTAGTTTAAACAATAAAAGTGTTATCATTTTCAAATTTGAGATTTTTTTGATATTTTAATTTTTTTTATTTTTTTATATTTGAGATTATAAAAAAATAAAATTTGATCGTTAAAATTAAAAATTTGCTAACAAATTATTAATAAAGTGTTGGTTCTTTAATTATCAAAATTCAAATACTATCAACATTGAATATAAAATTTTTTTTTTTAAGAATTCAGCTTCCCATTAATTGATGACAAGTGTTGACATTGCCCCCGTTTCACTATATAAATAAAAAATTGCAGGGGAATTTCAGATAGGCAATGATGTAAAGCAATTGGATCCAAAAAGGGTGGGAAGCGTTGTTAGATATGGCAGGTTGCGATTCGCATTGACAAATCGAGCAGTGGGCCATTCCCTAGTTTACAGCCAACTTTATCAATTCCAAGGCCTCCAAAACTATACCTCTGGAATTATTCATCACGTTCGTCTCACTGGTAAATGATCATGACCATTTATTTTTTCTTCTCTTCTCTTCTCTTCAGCTTTGTTTTCTTCTCACAATTTCTTTCCATTGAATATTTGCTATATCTGCAATTGGCCAGTTTTCTTGGGTGCTCAATCACTTTTTGTTTTTATTTGAGGATTCAAAAATTCGAACCCCACTCGTAGACTGAATAACATATATGCATCATTGAACTAAATTCGAAATGATTACCTATGACCT